TGTTCGCTTGTACACATCACAGTTAGCAGCAGACAGTAACAAACCTGACAACACTTCCGATTTCAGAAAAACATTACAACAATTTGTTTTACATTATATATTTCAATAATGTAATATAATAATCATTTATATTTAATTAATGACAAGGTTTACTTTTTAAATAAAACTATATGAGCCCTGTCCCGTTTCAATTATCACACTTCTCAAATTTATAGTGACTATCACTACAAGAACAAATCATACATAAATCTGATAAATTACTTTTATTTTTTTAACCCTTTCACTTCCACTTTCATTAAAAAAAATACCATTGTAGTACCTAGATTGTATGTTTTCTTTGTTTATTTTAAGTAAATTAAAATTTTTTCATAGTATTTTTTATTACTCCAAGACATAACGTCCCTGTTCAGGGACATTACAAAAACAAAAATCTACTATGAAAATAATTTTTTTATAATATTAATCCTTAATAGTAATGCAAATAAAGTAAATAAACCAAAAAGAAAAATGTCTACCAAAATTAACAGATGTATACTTCAGGGTTAATTAAGACAGTGTCCCTCTGGAGGGACAAATACACTGAAAGGGTAAAATATTTACAAATTTTCATGAGTGTTTCATCACCTTTAACTTTGATAACGGCAATAATTCATTAAAACATTGTATTTACAAGTTCTTGAAAATCTTACGTGCAGGGAACCTACTCCATATTTCTAGATTACCCATTTGCTTTAATTCTGGCAGTGATCTTGTGGGTGCTGCACGCCTCTGCTTAAAAATTATCACCCCATATACAAAAAAGCATCTTTATTAAATGAACAAGAAACTAAAAAAAAAAAATAAGCATTATTAAAAACTACAAAAAGTGCATAATTTGAAAATCCATATTCAAGCTTGAGATTTGTAAAATTAAAAAAATTCCAAATACACATTTAACTTGTTCAATTATGTATTGAATAAAAGGTCTGTTCCAACAATGATCAGAAACAAACCACTGGGTAGTACACAATTCTGCAGTATCGATAAACTACTGTGCAGAATCCTGATGTCAGTAACTCATTTCTGAGCATTGTTGGAACAAACCTAAAGTAAATCGAAACCACTTAAAAACAAGCACAACATTTATACTCGAGCATAATTTTTAATTCCTATCAAAATTTTTAATTACTGAATATTTTGTTCTAGTTATATTAAAATTTAAAAGTTCTTACTCTTCATTATAATTATATTTTTTATTTTCCCTATATACCTACATACTATCTCTAACATTTTACAAATTTGATGCCTAATTAAAGATTTCATCTAGCATTGCAGCATTTTTTAGAATATTTGATAGAGCATAGTAGTAACTGCCAGTTAAAACTTTATTTCTAGTATTTAGTTTAGGTAACAGAGACAACGCTTGGAACAGAAAATACATACTTTTGTTAATTCAGAATTTTTAAATGTTGTTTTATATTATAAATCTTTCCAGGTATCCTATATCATTTTTTTTTAAATTTTCAACCAAAACTGTTTAAAAACAAAAAGTTTAATAAAAAAACACCCATTATATTTAATAAGGTTTATGCTCTAAAACTCACTGTTCTTTTAATGGCAGATTTTTTAACCTCTGAGTAAAGTTAGGTGTAAGTATAATCTATAGCCTAATCAGCAAGTAGTTACTTTCAACTTTATTCAGAAGTAAAAACCTGGCCTTTAATCTTAATATAATTGTGGAGGATGGAGACTACATTTGCTAGGGATTAGGGAATAACGAAGATCTGACTACTATAATGACACTTGCTAAAAACTGTATAAGTTCTATGTACATGCAGATAGAACCATGTGAATAACTTTAGTGGTTCAATAACACAACATTGATAATTAAGAGATGAACATATTGGTCACAAAAACAAATTAAATAATATATTCTACCAATCTCATTTTTTCCAAAAAGTACAGTTACAACCTTGTTATTCTTTGAGATGTATTTATTACTGATACTTATTAATAAAAATAATAATAATTGATATAGGTACTTACTGATCTTTGGAAACATATATACTCCAGTCCAGTGAGACTTCATTATTCTTGTATAACGCTATTTCACAGAAATGTTTGTAATTCCAATCACTATGTATGGATTTGATTATAGTAGGTATAAAACTAAATGTTTATTAAATATCTTTAATCTGGGCAATGAAAATCACAAAACTCACTTTAAAAATAATAAGCTTCAATCTGAGTACCATACTTAAGGTCCACTTCTTCATTTTATAATCAGTAACCCACTGTATTGCTGTTTTTGCCAAAGCCAAAGGTAATATTTGAACACAAAACAAAATCAGCTGTTTTTTATAAACACCCCCATTTCACTTATTTAGTAGCAAGTCTCTGGCAGCAACTTGTAACTTAATTGGAGCATATTTATTAAATCTTGAACACTTTTTTTGATCGTATAAACTCACACATCAGTGCAGCTTGTTTAAAAAAAAACACTTATAAGCAACCATCAATAACAATAAACTTATTTGTTGACTATTAATTTTTTCATCTGTACTCCTTCTGATAGTTTTGTCATTTTTAATTTCATATAAACTCGAATTTTCACCATAGAAGAACTATTTTTATGATTGCACTTTTTTTGACAGATAAAAAGATTGCCGCAATTTTCCGCCGTAACGACACTAGCGAACCTAGCGGATTTTGGCTAGGAAGTACGATCGGTTTTGGTATGTTTTTTTCAGGGAGTTGAAACACCTTTATAGTACGCCGTGGCACAGGGTCAAACATTTCAGTATTGTGGCGTTGACTTAAAGGAACCATGCTTTGCACATGGCCAACTATATATGTCGCATGCTCACGAGTTGGATCATCTCAACATTTGTTTATTTACAGTCCAAACAACAGAACTATAAATGTAGTGTATAAGCAAATATTATAAAGATAAATTTAAAACAAAAAATAAAACTAAAATAACAAATGTAAATATATAATAGTATTAATGTATAATGTTTCATGTAATCTGTATATGAATGATATGAAGTATGGACAATTATATAAATAAAATGAAAAATTTTATATTTACTAAATTCTTTCTTGACATTATTTCGATTTACTAATTATTAGTCTATAAGAAATACTCTATATACCGTAAGTTTAATGGTCGAATAAGTTTTAATATCTAAGATAGGAATCTATAATATCTACATTATCTACCTTATAGAAGATAGTAGAACGGCTAATGAAAAACCGTCTTTTGCCCTTTCTTTTCAAGCATAACATCCTCACAGCTCATCAGTATGGCTTTCTACCTAAAAAATGCACTAGCGACGCAATGTTTTCCGTTCTTAATGAAATATACACATCACTTAATGATAAACTTTTCACCGCTTCAGTATTTTGTGACTTCGCAAAGGCCTTCGATTGTGTAAATCATGATATTTTAATTAATAAGTTACAAATTTATGGCATACGGGGTTCTCCTTTACAATGGTTTAAAACTTACATAGAAAATAGAAATCAACAGGTGCGGGCGAATGGTGAGGATTCTACAAATCTAGCAATAAGCAGTGGAGTACCTCAAGGATCAGTATTAGGTCCAATTTTGTTTTTACTATTCATCAACGACATCACAGACTTAAGAATAAGTGGTAGAATTACTTTATTTGCTGATGACACCAGTGTAACCTGGAATAATTCTAACATGCAGACATTACAATCTATCATAAGTGAAGATCTAGTGACTATTAAGTCCTGGTCTGATTCGAATGGACTTTGTTTCAACACCAGTAAAACTGTAGCATTGTCTTACAGAGGTACTTTACAACCTATAACTTTAAACAATAATCTGATCCAAACGGTGACTTCAATCAAGTTTTTAGGTCTTTATATAGACGATTCTCTAAAATGGTCTGCTCATATAGATACCTTAGCAAAAAAATTATCCTCCGCATGTTTTGCCATTAAATCGGTTTCTAAAGAGCTGACTCCTTCTACTGCATTAATAACCTACTTTTCCTTATTCGAATCTCACCTTCGCTATGGTTTACCTTTCTGGGGTTCTTGTAGCTTATACCTTTTCGAATCTATTTTTAAACTGCAAAAAAGAGCAATCCGCTATGTATTTGGTTTAAGTAGTAGGACACATTGCGAAAATTACTTCAAAAATTTCAAAATTCTAACCCTTCCTGCTCTATTTATTTTCGAATCCGTCTGCTTAGTTCGCAAGCACATTCAAAATTTATCCGAAAGACCGACTCGTAGATATCCTACAAGAAATTTAGAGACTGATGTTTATTTAACAATGCCCACTTCTGACCTATTAAAACATTCCATTACCTACAATGCCAAAAAATTGTATAATAACCTTCCGATGCAATTAAAATCTATAAATACATACGATAAGTTCCGAAGACTGGCTAAAGCTTTTCTTCTAGAAAGACCATATTACACAGTAGCAGAATTTTATAACGTACCTTAGACATTTGAGTTCCACATACAATGGCATTAATTAAATAATTAAATATTAAAGTTTAAATTTAAAAATTAAATTAGAATAATTATAATGACGGATATTGCATATCCATTGCAATTGTTATTCCTATTTTGTCTGTTTGTTTCTGTTTGTTTTTTCTGCTGTTTAGTTATTTTTATAATATGTTTAGTATTTAAGTTACACGCTTTGTCTATAAAATTTTTGTAAATTTTTTTACGACAATAAAGCATATCTCTCTCTCTCTCATTAAAAATGTGTCTTCATGTATTTTTTACACCATTAAACATGCGGTGTATATTTTAACCCGTGCAACGCCGGGTTTCGCAGCTAGTATATATATAAAAAGACGAATTCAGAATTTTGATTTTTTTTTTTTTTTCAAAATTTGGACTTTTTTTAATTTATAGCACCAATACGTCGTCATGATGTACCGTTCAAACTATCCCTTAATCTCCTTGATTTCAGTTTTATTGTGTAATTTGTTATAGGAAGACACAAAAAATAAAAAGTGAAATTATGCCTTAATTCTTTTAATTGAAATGTTTACGGTTTTTTTAAATTTATAAGTATAGCCTAATGGTATTAATACTTTAATAGAATCACATTATTTAATATACAACATCATTCCATATCCAAAAATATATCATTAAGTGCCACTCTCGAGAACACTCTGTTCGCCAACCCATGGAAGATGAGACCGAAACTCTTTTCATATCCATCTCTGACATCGGTGAAGACTTCGTTCCAATTTTCATTTAAAACGTTTAAAATGTTCGAGCCCAATCGTTCATCACCGCTGAATAGGTTATCAAATTTGTATGTCATCTTATCCGGCCTCAAAGTTACGGTATAATTTGAGAAATTCCAATGGGTTTTACCTTTCTTCTGGAATGGCTCAGCATAGAGGGTGTGATTGATTTTCGTGTTATCTAAAATAAGTATAGAAGTAAGTAAAAGTTATCGAAAAGAAGTCAATAACATGTTTTTTGTGGAAGATTAATTTATTCTTTCCATTTAGTGCGAAGGAGCTGCCAGAAATCAGATTCATGCTTGAACTAAAAGATGGCGCATAAAATTGAATAAAAACAAGTCTATTTATAGCCCAATCGGATTAGGTGAAGAACAGGCTTGAGATTCTGAAAAATTCGAAGCAGCAATTTTGCTTCGGAATTCGTTGGAGGGGGTCTGTGGTAGTCTAAATTCAAAAAGTTGGGATTCCAAAGTTGTCGTTACCTCGCCAGCTTGATTTAAAGGGTTATTTTTTGTATCTTGAATAACTCATTTATTTTCAATTTTACACGGAAAATAGTTTTTACAAAAGTTATTTATAATTAAATTTCCTACAATTCTGCTTTTTTTTTGTACGATCGATTTTTTTCGATTTATACCCGAAAAGAGGGGGTGAATTTTTGGTTATAGAATAACTCGTTTATTTTCAATTTTACGAGAAAAATTGTTATAAACAAAGTTGTTTAAAATTAAATTTCCTACAATTCTGTTTTTTTTTGTACGCTCGATTTTTTTGTATTTATCCCTGAGAAGAGTGGGGGTAAACTCTTAGAAAAAATCAGAATCATAATTGTACCAAATAACATTTTTGAAAATCAGCAAAAAAAAAACAAACAGAAAAAATAATGGTACAACATCAATAATAAACGTGACAATACAATACTTAGGTTCACCCCCACTCTTCTCAGGGATAAATACAAAAAAATCGATCGTACAAAAAAAAAGCAGAATTGTAGGAAATTTAATTTTAAACAACCTTGTTTATAACAATTTTTCTCGTAAAATTGAAAATAAATGAGTTATTCTATAACCAAAAATTCACCCCCTCTTTTCGGGTATAAATCGAAAAAAATCGATCGTACAAAAAAAAGCAGAATTGTAGAAAATTTAATTTTAAACAACCTTGTTTATAACAATTTTTCTCGTAAAATTGAAAATAAATGAGTTATTCTATAACCAAAAATTCACCCCCTCTTTTCGGGTATAAATCGAAAAAAATCGATCGTACAAAAAAAAAGCAGAATTGTAGGAAATTAGTAACTGGTTATGTAAATAGTTATTTTTGACGCTAGTCCCACTTTTGGAATTTTTTGAAAAACCCACTCCGTAAGGGGCGTTTGTTAATATTAGAATCTTATCAGAATAATTAATTTTGTTCTAACCTAACTTAACTAAGGTTGCAATCATAAAAACTAATATTCTTCTCGCTTAGGCTTAGGCTCTCTGCTAACTTAATTACACTAAACTAAGGTGTAACACTAAACCGCATAATGCTTTGCTTTGTGATTAACACAATAACTTGGGTAACTCAAAAGGCTTGACTCTCTTGAGTCTTTTTGTCAACGTCGTATTGTCAAGAAGCTGGATCGCCCCAACGGTCACATGTTGGTGGAGCCTATCGAATTTGGTAATACAGGGGCGCATATATGGGGGGTAATGGGGGTAATTACCCCCCCCCCCCCCCCCAGAATGTTTAAACCTTACTTTTTATAGATACTAAAAATGTATTGCACAAACTATTGAAAGACCAATTGCTGTATTTTTTGTTCAATCTGACAGAAGCGCTTTTTTACTTCCGTCGGCTGTCCGCCACTCAAAGCGTCTAACTTAGGTTACCACTCTACGTTGTACGTACTTGTTTGTACCTCAGAATCTCACTTTTTCTTCGACTAATATTGCTTATATAATTTTTGTTTTTATTTTGATTTCTACTGGAAGTACTGGATACTGGATCACCAAAATGATAGTGATACTAAAGTGATACACTGTGTTCATGTAAGGGTTTTACTTTACAGGTATTTTTATGAAGTTTAGTAATTTAGATTTAAGTTTATGTGTAATTGTAATTGCAAATTATTTTTGTTCTTGCACTTGCAGATACTAAACACAACAGAAATTAGCAATGATTAAGAGAAAACAGAATACCTACCTTAGATAATTATTTGTTAAAATGAAAACAAAATAGGGGAATAATAACCTCGGAAGTCGTGAATTTATCACCAGTCGAGGAATCCTCTGAGGAAGCGGGTTCGAGTTTGAGTATGGGTAAACAAACCGCCAAAACTATAGTCTATTTTTATGTATGAGAGAGTATTAAAATAATAAAGCGTTCGTAATCCATAGGCGTACCACTTCTTTTAGTAGACAGTTAAAATATTTTTTGAAGTTATTCCTCAAGTATACACTTATATTTTCACCTAATTAACCTGCTTATAACTTCTAAATAGCTGAAGGTAAAAAGTGCAATTTTTTCCAAAATGTTTTATTTTTCCACAAGGTATGTTAAGAACATTGTGTCAAACGGGTTATGTAGGTATAAGGGTTCAAACTTTGACTTTTAAACAACGTTACGTTCATAAATAATAATTTTAATATAAAAACTACTTCTTACCTACAAATCCAAATCAGAATCGAAATCAGAAGATGAACTGTCGCAACCAATATTTACAATGAGTGGCTCGATAATTTCATCAGTAATATTGTCCAACTTCCACATTTTCTCTTCTTCTTTAATCGTATGATTTACTGTCTTTTCCCAGTTTTCAGGCTTCACATTATTTACAGCCTCCAAAAACAACTGTTTAACATCACTCATTTTAAAAGAATTATTTTTTCTTGAAACTTCTCCCTTTATCTGTGCCCATATCAGTTCAATCGGGTTTACTTCGCAACGATATGGTGGTGATCTAACCACCGTCATCCCACGATTTTTTGCAATTTCATATTTTTTGAATTTCTCTTTATGAAGGAAACACAAATGATACAGTTCTTTTCTCACAGAACCGGGATGGAACTTAATATTCTTTGAATTTAGCCAATTCTGTAAATCTTTTTTTAACCACTTGGTTGTGGGCATTTTTTTCTATAAGTCTCGAGTGATAACTTGCATTATCCATTACTATTATACAGTTCTGAGGAAGAAGATCTATAATTTGTTCGAACCACTCTTTAAAGACATCAGCATTCATGTCCTCATGGTAGTCACCGGTACGAGTAAATTCAAAAGTCAATAAACCACCTTTAACAAAACCGTTTGAACTACCGATGTGTACTATTATTAGTCTGCGCCCCTTTCCTGATGGTGGATTTAACATAGTAGATAAATTATTTAAAAAAGCCTGTCTTCGACTTGTAACAGTTTCATCTTGCCAAAATTTATTTGATTTATATCCCTCGTTGATCCATGTTTCATCTAAATAAAATATATTTCTTCTTTGGTTTCTCAGTTCTTTTATAGTAATTAGGTAATTTCTTCTCTATACTACAATATCGCTTCTTTCTATTAAAATAGACTTTCTGGAATGCTTTTTCCATAGAAAACCTATTTCTTTTAAAAGTTTCCATAGTGTGCTTCGACTCATTTCAGGGTAATCCTTATCATCTCGAACCGTGGCATGAACTTTGTCTACTGTCGGAAATTCTTTTCTAAAGAAGAACGCATGCACTTTCCTTCGAAGTCTTTCTTTCAAAAGATTTTCTAATTGAAATTTTGGTTTTCCTGGAGCTTTACGTGCTGTTTGAAACTCGCCACATTTCTCTTCTTTAACAACTCTGTAAATCGTAGATTTCCCAACACCGAGCGTACTACTAACTAATTCCACTGTGTCATCAACACTTTTACATAAATGTTTGTCTGTAAATGATTTAAAACTATTAAATATTAATGTTTTTTCATTAACTGTTAAAGGACCGATATTTTGTCGTTTACGCGGCCCTTCCAAATTTTCCATGATCACACTAGAATTCACACTGCACCTTGCAAGTTGCAACTAAACGACATTTAGTAAACTGTCAAGAATACACAACTTGGACCTCCTTACTAAATGGAAAACCTATAATCGCATTTTCGGTGAAATTTGTTGGGAAGGTATTTATCTACTCATAATTCGATTACTGTAAGAAATTCTTGGAATTAAAATAAAACAAAATTGGCAAATAGGTACTTATTGAAAATAATCTTAAGATACGGCTATGTAATCTTTAATACACAGGGCTTTTGGCCTGTCTAAACCTTTTTCTATTGGTCTGTACAGCTTATGTTTATAAAGGACCAATAAAAGACCCAAAACTTGTAATAGCTCAGGTACATTTATTACAATTTTAGGAAATATTTAGATTATTCTGTAAAAATATTTAAAATGACCGTACTAAGTTTTGCATTAGAAATGCTGTTTTATTACTCTCTTATACATAAAAATAGACTATAGCGCCGGTAGCAGCAGTGACCACAGCGTTGCCACATTTAATATTTTACATGGTTATAAAAAATCGATAGACATTTCCCCTTTTGTCAATATATCTAAAATAATTACATTGCGGGAAAAATATTCGGTTTTAATGTACTCTATGGTTCCGGATCAAAATTTTACGTACCCGTTTTCAATTCACAGAAAAAATGATAAGGATATTAAACACTAGTTCATTCAATACATGACAAATTAACCACTTTCTTGACAACAAAAAAATATTTTAAAAAGCAAAACATATAATTTACCAATAAAATGAATTAATTTATGTAACTAACAATGCAAGAAAGTAATATTGGTTACATATATAGACAATTTTATTTAATATTCTCATATATTAATTAATATTTTATATTAAAAATATTTGAAATAACTATTTGTGTTTATTCAAATAAATTAAATTATATAAAATGCAACATTTTTTTTCCAACAATTTTCCAAATATTCATAGTCAGAGTAATTTTTTACCAAACAGTTTTATAAATAATCTAGTCAAAATTAGAAAAAATATTGTACCTAACACGTTGCGAAATGCCATTTTATGTAACTCGTTCATTTTGCGAGACCTCGCTCTGCTCGTCTTGCAAATATTCACTTTTACATAGAATTTCGAAACTTGTTACATAAATAGTTATTATGTAACTTTCTAAAAAATATACTTACATAAAGTAATATTACATAGTCCATCTCCATATATGGGCAAGAGCATTACTTTTCCCCTCATTGTGTATTCACCTTGAAGTCGTAGTTCAGGAGTAATAGATCTTGCGTGCATTATATGATTTTCAAAATCAATACTAAAAGAATATTAAAATATATAATTTTGTTCATACAAGTTTTAAAAATTATTAAAAAAAAACGACTTCAAAAATGAAGAGTTTGATGATTTTCTCATCAGATCTTGGCCAAATTGATATGGGACCACCACTCATTTACCGCCTTTCTAATGAAAAATAATATAAATTGGACAACGTGGTAAAGAATTATCAATTATCGCTGAACATACATAATAGTTATTTATATACCAAGTCAGCAAAGTGATTCTTTATAGAACTAGCCTGAGATTAGGCGCCTAGCGAGAGAAGTGAGCAAGGCGAGTAAAAGGCGAGTTCGATAAAGATTCCTAAATAATTATAATTAATAAAAAAGGAGATATTATGACATCACATTTTAGTATGACAAAGTTAACAAACAGAAATATAATAGCGAATCCAAAAAAGTGAGTTACAGACTATTGCCTCGTTCAAATATCCACATCGGATGCATCTGAGATGTTGTGAATAAACAAACGCTTTAGACTTTATTAGTCACGTGATAAAATGACAAGTTAGAAGTTTATACTTTTTAAATTTGACTTTTGAGACTATAGATCAACCTTAATTTGAAATCTAAACAAAAATTAAACAAACCAGTCACTTTTATATTCATGCTAACATAAACAAAGGATAAATTGATAAACTTGGCTTCACAGAACACTTATATACTTTCTGGCATGGAACAAACATCTCATTCACATCTCATTTCAAATCGAGATGTAAAAAATGTAATCTGGACAGGTACATCTTGGATAAAAAAAAGCAGATGGAGATGCAGTAGATGTGTCCGATGTGGATAAACAAACGCTCGAGATGTAAAAAATGCATCGGAAGTGGATTTTCAAACGCGGCAATAGATCGCTTTGTCGTGACATATTAAATAAATTCACAAATTTTATATTTTAAGTGGTTGGCCATCTATGGTTGGGCCAACTTACTTACCTAGTTGAAAGAACTATTGATCCTGTTAAACCATATAATTTTACATTTTTGAAATTCTGAACCACATGTACTGGTCCAGTTCCTTCTCCAATTACCAGTTTGGGAATATCTAACGGATCGAGTGTGCTCAAACCTAGTTCTGGCGATTCTGCATTAAAAATAGATGTTATTAAAAACTTTTATTAACAAATAAGTAATAAATACCTTTTTTGAGTTGATGAATAGCATCTTCAACATTTTTCTTAAGACATTCATTAAACTCTTCATCTTTCGGGCTACATCTTCCAAAAGTACTCGCTAAAAATAAAATTAATATTAAAATAATAAAAGTAAGAAGGTAAGAATTAAGAACTGCACATATATGTGAATCACAACGGAAGGAAATTTCTAAAGTTCCTTTTAATTATAATTTGGGGTGGTAACATAGATTTTATTGAAACTGTGGTTGTGGTAAATCAATTTATTCGCTGGCCAGCATACAATTTGAGATACAACTAGTGAGTAGCGGGGAGTTTAGGGTAACTACTGCTTTCTTTTTTGATGTTGGTGAGATCTTTAAATATACTTTCTAGATTGGATATTAATTATGCTAAAAGTACCATGGACCATAATTCCAGTTTTGGAATAGTTATAACTTTTTTAGTGTGAGCAATTCTAGAATTAGATGTAATAAGAAATGAAGAAGCAGTGTGATCTTCATAAAGAGCTCTTAAGTATACGCAGCATCCGTATGCTAAGGAACTAGCGTCCGAAAAACCATGAAGTTGCAATTTACAAATATTCCTTTTGTAAACTAAACACCTGGGAATTTAAAAAGATTTCGCGATCTTCTGAATCTTTGTCACTATACTTAATTTCAATTTGATCTTGAATGTCATTATATTTTGATAAATATGATGAGGCTAAGTCAATTCCGTTCAATATTTGATTTTTGCTAATAAATGAATCTTTATTTTTATGATAACAATTGATAGTGCGTGTATCTAAGCTTTGCAAGTTGCCCTTTGTTTGTCTTCCATATTCATGATTTACTTTACCCTTAACCTATGATCTTTAAATGTGGATATTATTGAAAATTGGCTTCTTTAAGTGGACTCTGCTTGAGATTTTGATAGAGAACTGCGACTTGTGAGAATATGAATCTGTTTCTTATTTTAGGGGATACTGGTTTAGTGGAAATCTTCTGTGTGAAAATCTGCTGGGTGGGAGTCGGTCTTCTTTAAGAGGGCCCTGCTTAATAGATCCGGCTCGAAGGGCCATGAATCACAACGGAAGGAAATTTCTAAAGTTCCTTTTCAATTGGGATTTGGGGTGCTACTGGTTTCTTTTTTGATGTTGGTGAGGTTTTTTTTTTACATAATACTGCTGTCACAAAAAAATAATATATCGTTATGACAGTTACCAAAGCCAGGTTGATTACTTTTTCTTGTTAAACAGTGAACTTTTAACAATGTATTTCTGCTTGTTGAATTTTATCAGTATGGTGCAGCCAAGCACTAAATCTTTTTCCCTTCGTTTGGTTCCCTTATGCTGAATAGTTCCCCTTGACAGATAGGTAGGTCTGTTATCAGACGCCGCAAGTTTGTGGTTAGCCTCGAGATTTTATTATCATTTTAACGCAAGTTACATAAATAACATAGAAATATAAAATTCAATTTTTATATTTTTATTATTTGTGTACATGTTATATTCTCTGGCTGGTCGAGTTTGTCGATGCAATGAGCTGATTGAACGCGAGATGTTTCTGTGAGTTCTTTAGTTATAAAGAGAGGTTAACAGATCCGTGAAACAAACAGTGTATCCCAAACCACGCTTTTTTGTGCATCGCACGTAAATTACACCACGACGTAACAATTAACTTCGCTTGTTCAGGTTATTCTGACTTTGATCTAACGTTGTCAAATTTAGTATTTTTCTACATTTCTGGTATTTTTTTTGGCTAGTTTCAGTGGATTTTTATGTCAGTTTTAGTAGATTTTAGTAGATTTAAGTAGATTTTAGTAGATTTTAGTAGATTTTAGTAGATTATAGTAGATTTTAGTAGATTTTAGTAGATTTTAGTAGATTTTTAGTAGATTTTTAGTAGATTTTTAGTAGATTTTTAGTAGATTTTTAGTAGATTTTTAGTAGATTTTTAGTAGATTTTAGTAGATTTTAGTAGATTTTAGTAGATTTTAGTAGATTTTAGTAGATTTTAGTAGATTTTAGTAGATTTTAGTAGATTTTAGTAGATTTTAGTAGATTTTAGTAGATTTTAGTAGATTTTAGTAGATTTTAGTAGATTTTAGTAGATTTTAGTAGATTTTAGTAGATTTTAGTAGATTTTAGTAGATTTTAGTAGATTTTAGTAGATTTTAGTAGATTTTAGTAGATTTTAGTAGATTTTAGTAGATTTTAGTAGATTTTAGTAGATTTTAGTAGATTTTAGTAGATTTTAGTAGATTTTAGTAGATTTTAGTAGATTTTAGTAGATTTTAGTAGATTTTAGTAGATTTTAGTAGATTTTAGTAGATTTTAGTAGATTTTAGTAGATTTTAGTAGATTTTAGTAGATTTTAGTAGATTTTAGTAGATTTTAGTAGATTTTAGTAGATTTTAGTAGATTTTAGTAGATTATAGTAGATTTTAGTAGATTTTAGTAGATTTTAGTAGATTTTAGTAGATTTTAGTAGATTTTAGTAGATTTTAGTAGATTTTAGTAGATTTTAGTAGATTTTAGTAGATTTTAGTAGATTTTTAGTAGATTTTAGTAGATTTTAGTAGATTTTAGTAGATTTTAGTAGATTTTAGTAGATTTTAGTAGATTTTAGTAGATTTTAGTAGATTTTAGTAGATTTTAGTAGATTTTAGTAGATTTTAGTAGATTTTAGTAGATTTTAGTAGATTTTAGTAGATTTTAGTAGATTTTAGTGGATTTTAGTAGATTTTAGTAGAATTTAGTAGATTTCAATAAATTAACAAAAAAATTCCAATTACTAAAACAAAAGTTCTTATTTAAATAATTGTGTTGCTTAAATTTTGTGGCGATTTTTTTGCCGCTATGAGAATACTAGTGACCATACCACGCTGGTGAAGTATTCTCGAATCTTATGTACATGAGAGAGGTTTTCGAAAGTTTTGAACAGTTTTTGCTCTGATAGGTCCCATTTAAAGACAGGTAGATGCGAACAAACTCAAGGGAATACGATATTTATCATTGCATTAGTAATGTAGTTAATTTGTAATTATATGAGGATGTTTATGTTCGTTTAAATCTGCTGAATGTTTTACTACTATAGTCAGTAATAAAAAAAGATGTAAATGAACAGTTCTAAATAGCCCTTGCTCTACTTTTAAATTATGCTAAAGTCTAATCGCATGCATTTTTAATTATATAATTGTTATTATTAGCTTACCTACAAGCTAAATAACATAATGTAAAAAGTAACATATAAGTTGATGCATTTTAACGTCAATTTCTCGTTCAGATCCTTTATAATAGAATTCTATTGTAATTAACCTTTTTATCATAATCTTGACATTAACATATTTTATTAGCTCGTTAACAAATTCAAAAAATTATCAAACGAGTTGTAAGGATAATTGAAAAAGCAGTTGGAAATGATTTTGTAAAGTAAGTTGATGTAGAGGAAAAAACCATTGTTGATCTATTTCGTGTGTTTTTTAAAACAAAATTCATAGTTGATTGGTTTGGTGAAAAGGTTGACTTAGACACGAGTCCGTTAGCCACAAATTTTTTAGATTTAGGTCTATTTTAAATCATGTATTATTTGATTTTGTAATATATTTATTAAAAAACTAAAACTAATATTGAAAAACCAATATCAAAACCAGATAAATACCATATTACATATAAACATAACCTTTCCTTCATCGGTTGTCTATGGTTTTCCCATATTGAAACCATATTAGAAACCGATAATAAAGCTATTTTTTTTGGGTACACATAAACTTGCCTGGAGATAAGAAAGGTATTTACGAACTAAATTGCCTTACTTTTTTCCCACCATTAAACTCAGCTGCAGACAAACTAGGGTCGTAAGAGAGAAGTATTAAACTCGCCTGGAAAAGGATTGAAGCAAAATAATGATCGTATGCAATTTAAAAAAATAATTTATTTCAGAACATATTAATTAGACAAACATGTCTATAAACACTGCGTTGTACGCAAACAGAAAGAACCAATGACCGAAGAGGAAGACCACATAATTATTGTAAAAAGTGTAGAAGAACTGAAAAAGTTCGTAAAGAAAACCATTGAAAAAAATCCACAACTAGCGGCGAAAATGAGAAAAGGAAATCTTGAACCAGGAAGAATAACGTGTTGTATTACAACCAGTTATATCATGGGAGAAGATAATATAATAAAGGATCATCTAAGAAGCTATGCACATCTTATAACTACGAAGGAAGGAGGAGAAACAATGGCGGACAAAGTTAGTTTAAACGCAAACTTACAAAAATTCATCGAAATTGCCAGAAAAAACGGCAGAGATAAAACGGTGTTCTATGTGAGTAACGCAATAAATGAAACATGTGTGAGAAAGATACTAGAATATTCCTATAGAAAGGAGAACTCACAAATAATATTCTATACATATAAAGAAGGTAGCCCCACGAGAGAAGAAGCTATAAAAAGAGGGAGAAAGATCAGGACACAATAATACTTAAACCAATGGAAGGCACAACTTATGCCGAAATAATTATAAATATGAAAAAAGAGGTGGAAGTAGATGGAATAATAATTGAGAGAATAAGTAAAACAGAAAGCGGAAATGTTCAGACTAAAATAAAAGGTAAGGAAGAAAAAACAGACAAACATTCAAAGAATCGCTTACTGCTAAATGAGTGGATGGCAGAGAATTATATTTCAAACAACTTTTGTTTGAATAATTTTTATAAAAAAATATTTTTTTACATTTTGTCAAATTTCTCGAATACGGACCATTTTAGGAAAATTTTGTATAGAACAAAAATTATAGATAATATTATAAGAAGTAACTTTTATTTGAAGAGTTTTCTTCCCCAAACGTAAATAACAGATATATTCCATAAAATATAAAAATGATTACCCATAAAGTGCCCCCCCCAGATGTTCCGACACTGCCCAAAATCTAATCAGCACATTGGACACTGGAACAAAGCTTAAGTTTAAAATTTGGTGTTTTTCTGTGTATCGGTTCATGAGTTAGGCAACACACAGACACACACACAGGCACACACGCAGACACACACACACACACACACATACACACACACACACACACACACACACACACACACACACACACACACACA